CTGTACTGGTACATAGATTGTCATGACCTTGTACAATATGATATACAAATGACGATACAATACAGTTAGTGTATTACCATCTTTATATAATGAAGATAAGTACTAGTAAAATTACTCATAAAATATTCTATCTAAGCAATGAGATAAACCTTGGTGTGATTATAAATTTACCATAAACATACTATAAACATGTTACACAAAAAGAATATGTTTTTAAAGAACTTAAAACCACCGTTACATAGCTGTTTACATGGCTGCTTGATGACATTGATAATTACGATTAATGACAATTACATAAGACATATAAGTAAATAAGTTACACAGATATAAATATTGTGCCATGTTCAGTCCCACTGCCGAGTCACTTCTCACAACAGTGGGACCATACACTGACATTTTAAAGGGATATGCTAAGAGTTACCAAGCAGAGCAAACACTNCTGTTCAACCCCAGCAGATAGTGATCGATTCATGGTTGGGCGAATTCGTTTTATTCGTCCAAGCTCATTGAAAGGGGCCATTCCCTTTGGAATGGTCGGTCTACGTAGATTGATCCTACTCGACGGGGACTCTCGCTGACTGCCATCAGTTTGAATCGACCACCCTTACCAAATACCCATAAAACTCTCTGAAACTAGTAACAATTATATCACCAAACTGAGCTGTGAAATATTACGGGCATCAATTCTTTACATTTAATTGAGAGAAGAACAGTATGATCCAGATTAAAAGACAGCAATAGATTTGATAACCATAACGCAAATCCAACTGAGTGGGACACAGTGGATTTTAATTGCGACAAGGAGGCTGTTACTTTACAGTATAAATTATAATATTATGCATTGACGATTGGCTTAATTAGTGCTTAATTGACTGAGATTTATCTTAACACTTTCTAAAGCACTTGACGTCATACTGATGTAAGTAGAATCACTAATTCTCTTGACAAAAAAGATGTAATTACGTGTCAGGATGTTCCCTTGTGCTTAACTTACTCAGAAGATTAATTTTGGTCTTATCTAAAAGACCGTAATTGCGTTTATATTCACTCTTGTGAGCGTATTTAACAGCGGGAGCAAACCCAGTCCTGTGGAAAACAAAGATAAACAATGGCACAAAAATAGCATCGTTCAGCTTTTTTTTTAAATCTAAGATCTAGGCCTGATAGATGAGACTTTTTTCGGATAATCAAAATGAATTTCTGAATCATACAAAAATTAAAAAAAATGAGCCATCCTGTTCTCCTGTAAGAAAACATGATTCTGTAAACCACAAAATATGACGCAAACCGAAATTACAAAAAAAAAAAAAAAAAAGGAGTGGCTTCGAGCAAGACTCATGGTCACCCTTCCCATTGACCTCAAATGCGTGCCAATTGCCCAGATATCAATATCTCACCATGGCATAGGTACAGAATATTGGCTCAATGATCTCACCAATCTAAACCGACCAGACTGGGTCTCCTTCAATTATTTTACTTTAAAAAGACCATTCAGATTCAATTCGCACAAACAAAATGACATTTAACAGTATGTCAGATATAACAGATGTGATTGACATTCCTATAGGACAAACCTCCAAATTTTTAATTCAAATGCCCCGACTACCAAAATGCATTCAAAATAAAAAAGGGATACATGAATATATATATATATCCGGAATCGTTTTCACATCAGTTTTAAGAACGAACCCACTTAACTCCGGCTCGTGTATAAATGAGCCTTAATGTTTGTCGCTATTTTAATTCAGAAAAAAATGTATACACGTGGAGGGGAGGGGTAGTCAAGTTCAGATACATAACTGTTTTATAAAAATTAATAATTATGCTGCAATACATAAGCAATTTTTGTAATTTACTTGCGTTGAAAAGTGAAAGGATCACACCCCTAATAGCAAGTAATAAGTACATGTAGTCAAATAAGTGAAGAAAAAATATCGAGTCATATTGAGTGCGAGTTTAATTTCTTAAAGAGTCAACAAGGGTAAAATTGTTTTCGGGTTAGGAAAATATATAAAATATCAAAGCCACATATATTTCATTTGTTTGGTTAATTTCACAATCAAATTGTAAGTTTTTGTCACTAACTGTATTTGGGATAAGATCCAAGAGTGAATAATTTAAATATTTAAATTTTAATTCAATTTTTTTTAAATATTTTTTTAATTGAAAGTTATGCTCGTAGAGATAGTGGAATAAAACAGCAGAATGGAAAATTCCGATAATCACGCAAAAGGCAATGTTAGGAAACTAGTAAACTCGTGATCGGTAGGGATAATTAAAATATGTACTCTTAAATTTGTATGAAAAGTCAACGCTTGAAAGCTCCAACTCGTCGTCGTCACTATACTGTTTAAATAAAAAATGCTCTCTATCTATCTATCTATCTATCGATCGATCTATCTATATATATGCATGCGGTGTAATTACGAGACACAACGAAAATATAATTGCATGTCCAAAGAAGCCTTTTGCAATTGAACTAAGTTAATCAGTGATAACTTTAGGAGATAAGTCTCATTGTGGTTAACAGTGACCTTTCATTTCGCAACGATGGTATATGCTACGTTATATATATATATATATATATATATATATATATATATATACGGCTATTTTGTCAATAAATGCGGCGTCGGTTCTACTCCAAGATAACCTTATAATGATGCCATCTCAGCACTTGAGGTGTAGTCGTAAGGAATTGATCCGATGGAAAATCAATGCAGTGCACGTCATAAGGGAGACCTGGGAAGCCAGAGAAATGTTAGGCTTATCAGCTGCATGCTACCTGTAGAAACCGCTCTGTGTGTTATATGTGTTCGGTTTGAATCATGATATACCTGTGTAAACGTTGAATGCCGTTAATTAAAAAACGTGGTTTTAAGAATTGCTTCTTGCACAAAATTGTCGACTAGTTTGCATCAATTTCAATTCAAAAATGAAATAAGAAATGCATTCACCATTTAAATCACCGATACGCACATTTGAAATGAAAAGCGCCTCTTTATGCATTTCGTGCGAAAACTGTTAATCCGAAAGCATGGGACGATTTTGTATAATTTTGATGTTAACTGCAAGGGAGACTTGATCCTGTGCAATGTACTGGTACACGTATATACATATATAGAGCACCCAGTGATCACTCCTATAAATGCACTTTACGAATATGTGTTTTTGAAAATATTGCCACCTATCTCCCTTACTGATCTATAAATGTTAAAACTACCGGGCTGGTGCTGTTTACGCAATCTGAAAAGCGTTATTAGTTTATGGCCAATAGCAAGTAGGCCTACCCCACAGATATGGTGATTTCTCTCTGGCCACAGGGGGCACTAGTAGTCTGTTACACAATTATTGCATACTTTAATTCTTTAGAGACCCCGATATCAGAGGGTAAATGGTCATTGCATGAAGTGAATCTTACATTTTAAGTGAATCATAGAAGGGTATAGGCTGAGATATTCCCACTACAATCTGTATGTAATATAAAACGTGCTAAGCAGTCTTAATACGTCCTAGTAAAGTCCTATTAATTACGTCCCTGGTAGATAAGGGGATTTTCAGGCAGCTGGTGCATGTGGTAACTCAAATCCAACATAACCACAGCGCTTGCGTCCCTAGATATCATAATTGACCTCAAGATTTCCAAGTTGCTCTACCCGAGGTAATTGCATCGGTTTTTGTGTCCAAAATAAACGCAATCCTTCTTTATCGTACTTTATGCAGGCAATGATATATGGCATTGTTGATGTTGTCGCAAACCCTTGGGACTGCAAAGCATCAAATACGAGCGCAGCGAAACCGGCAACAAATCTCGCGAGACTGATACTTCAACCAGAAACCAACCGTGTGCACAGATTCCTAGGAAAAATATATACGTAGTCATGATTAGGCAATCCGTGTGTATGTTTGTCTGGATTGTTGCCAATGGGAGACGATTGACGACTACGTGTAATGTCACGATGCTGCACACAGACAATAGATGAATGAGTAAAATAAATTAGGATAAAATGAATGAACTAAAAGCCGACATACGTACATGATATACATGTACTAAGCAGGGATGTAAAAGACTGAACATGTAAAGTGTGTGTAAACAAACAAAACAAAATATTTAAAACTCTTGGAAAACGTCAAATAGTTTTTTCTAATTATTTCTATTTCTGAAATCCATTAATCGAGTACTTGTGCCTTACCCTGAAATGATAAACTCCCTCCAATTAAGCCTAACTGTTCTGCCTTCCAATCTTAATTGGTTTCTAAAAGCAAAAGAGACACATAATAAACCAAATGGTTTTATGTAAATGTATATGCATACCGTAATATACGTAGAGTTTAATCTTTGGGACAAGGTAACAGTGAGAGATTGGATAAACCAGATAATTATTTCCACTGTTTCAGAGCAAGCCGGTTTCTAAGGCACAGGCCCCATGCTCTCAAGTGCGACAGAAATGGTAGTCCAAGGAATGGAAGTCCAGTGCCTTATATGGTTAGTACAGGTTGAGGTTGGTCACGAGTACGGGGGTCAGTATGTCACCTGGCTGTACAAAGCAACGGGGAACAGACAGCGGCTACTATATTACAGACCATTCCCGTCAAGCCGGTTATTGAGACAACTTTCATAAGTTTACAGCTAAATTTTTCATAGACACCATCTTAAATTACATCTCCAATACTGGTTTTACCCTGGTGCTTATATTCTGACCGCCTGATAACATCAGTGTTTTCATTGGATAATATCGATTTTCAGCAAGTCACATCACTATGGCAAATAAGTCGATTCCGTTTTGTCTCTTTATTATAATGAACCCATTCGACTATCCACGAGTAGGTGCCTGCGCATTTACCAAGGGCCATGGGGTATGGACAGTTAACGCGTTAGGCTTGTTCTTCATGTTTGGGTCAATAATGATATAAAAGGCGTTCAATAAATGTGACAAATAATACGCATATTCATGCATTCTGATACTACCGCCACTGTAGCGCTGGCATAGTAGTATTGATGTCTTAAGACCTTATATGAAAACATCGATTTTTCCTCTCTTCTGACTCAAGCTATTGGCATAAAATTGTATACATTGGAGAACGCAGAGTGCAGCTGCGGCATTAAATCGAATTAATCAGTCAGAATAAGACGAGATAATACAAGTTCTGCTCAGAGAGATGACTCATCAGGAATTAGTCCTCGCAGTGGTCGTCTGCCGTTGATTCCAGGCAGACGATCGACAAGAATCGACCGCGACGCGCCGCCATTTTGTGAACATTCTTTTTCTCGGAAATTTCAAGGGGAAAGGCGGGGAGCTTCCAGAAGACCTAAGGACAGGAAAGGTTTCTGAGAAAAGGAAAACTCTCGCAGCGTTTCTGTTAGATAGAGACCAAGATGGCGAAGAGAATTACAACACTGAATTTGGGTTGTTAACGACGTATTTGACAAAACATTTTATAAACATCAAATTTTTCGACAAGGTAGGTTTCGGTTACCTGAACTATATTTAAAAACCATTCTTCGAAAACTCTTTGGCGGTTCCATATTTATTGAATGGCATCTGATTAACGCGTGCCTACGTAACCTGACGTCCGTTTCCACAGTGTTAATTAACCTGCTAATTCCGGCACTGTTAAAACGACAGTATCAGCTTTAGAGCCACAGTAACAACGGAAAAATCAAACATAAAACAAGCAAGCAAGCCTTTTCAAGCATCCCTAGAAACGCCATACCAGAGGCTGCATTGGGACTATAAATTGTTGACATATTTAAAACGTCCTCAGAGACCAAAGGGTGTTCACGCCAAGCACGCCTGCAAAGAGGTCGACTCCAAAAGTTGTATTTACTATCGACACTAAAGTCAACATGGGTACTGTGCTTTCATTCTCCCCGCGACCTCGGCGTCCTTTGTATGAAGACATTAACTTGAATAATTTCAACTACGAAGTCCTCAACAACAACAAACCTGCTCCACCGAAAGGCGAGAAGGTGGAGAAAAATAACTTTAAAAGACACTCCATCTTCCTGAGTAGCCTTAGCTGGAAGAAATTCAGCGTGACCGGTAAGAAAAAAGAGAAGAACTTCTTCAAGTTGACCAACAAAATTTCCGGAAAAGTTGACAATAACTTGAACAACGTTGAAAACGTCAATCACAACTGCGTACCCAAATCTATATCCTGTTACAATTTGAAGAGTTTCAAAGATGAGAACTTAGCGAAAAGCAACAACAACAATGTATCGAAGCTACGACCGGTCGTGGCAGCGGCCAGTCCAAAAAAGACTGTCATCCAAGCGTCCACGTCGGAGCTACTCAAATGTTTAGGGGAATACCTGGCCCAAAGGTGCTACAGAGTGAAGCGTTTGGAACCTAGCGACGCTGTGATGTGGCTTCGCGGCGTCGACCGGGCGCTGTTGCTGCAAGGATGGCAAGACATCGGTTTCATCAATCCCGCCAACGTCGTCTTCGTCTTCATGCTGGTGCGCGAGCTCGTCACGAGCGACATGACGTCAGAGCACGAGCTTCAAGCAGTGACACTGACTTGTCTGTATTTGTCCTATTCTTACATGGGCAACGAAATCAGCTACCCGCTCAAACCTTTCCTGATTGAGGACAATCGTGATCGATTCTGGGACAGATGCTTACTCGTGGTAAACAAACTCAGCTCAAACATGCTACGAATCAACAGCGATCCTGGATATTTTACCGAAATTTTCACCGAACTCAAAGGCTATTCGCCCCTGAAGCAATGAAGATTGACCTAGAAACCCGTTACTGTCTATCTACATAGGTAATGTAATTAAACCAGAAGCAGAGTCATAAGACACATTGATATTGCCTAGATTTGAGTGTGCTTGTTACTGTGAAAAAAAAATGGTACAGAATCCAAATAGTACAGCACCGCTATTATTAAGACCCACACGCGCGTTTCGCAACACTTTTTGTGTCGATATTGTTTTAGTGCGCGTGTACTTTTATAAATCGAAATTGTAACAGTAGTTTATGTTAGTATTGTAAGCGGAATACGCGCATTTTGTTTTACTTTAAAATCGCATTTCACAGGAGTGGTACATCTGACCGTAGTTAAAATGAAATCCACTCTATGACCTCATCCTTTTAAAGAGTCACTTGGGATTCTATAAAAAACAAGACATGGGACATAATGGACCTACTCCCTACCAGAGTTCCTGGCTGAAGGACTCCCGACCAACCGGTATTGTAACGGGTAGAGGGGCGTCTGGTCCCTCCAGTGTGTGAAAGTCCCGTCCGCAGATGAAACCCGTAATTAATAAGGTCGCCGCATGCAAGCTCGGAATTTAACGTCGCGCAGGGTTCTTATGGCGTGGGCTGTACCGTATGTTTTAACTAGTGTATCTACGATAAAAACGATATTCTGTGCCTCTAACGGAACACAGTGCAAGAGCCACAAAAATATTATAAGGCATAAGGCAGATGTTGCTCCTGGTATGTTAGTATAAATGATAAATATATCGTGGAATCTACTTGAATTAGTTGCTTTAAGGGGATTTGTAGAGGCCCTTACTGAAAAAGTTCTTGAAGGCTGAAGCTGTAATGCATAATGGTTTTCCCATGGGGTTAGTTGTAATCAGGCAAAGATAGCAAAAACAAAACAGATGCTTGAATCTTTCTCCATATATTTCTGTTTTTGATATTTATATAGGGCTCTTACGAAGTTGCTTTATTGTTACGTAGTTGTTATATGATTTTCTGTTTGTTTTTCCTTTTCTTAAATATTTATTATTATAATGATTTTTTAAGGGGGGGAGGGGGAGCTTTTCGTATCATATAAAGAGAACGTCCACTATAAGCGTTAGCGTTTTAGGCCTGTATTCGAAACGAAGAGAGAATGATACCGCAAGCAGCACATTTTTTTTTTGCTCGCCATAGACATATTGATGCTCAGACTAATGGTTGTTAAGCTCTTCATAATTCTCTCTCGATCTACATGGGAGGTATTGATTTATGCTAATTTACACTGTGTCTACTTAATATACCGATGATAGTATTGGCGTTCCTCTTAACGGGGAAGGTTTTTTTGTGTGGTTGCAACGTGTCTGCTGTAGGAAATTAAATGCTCATATTAAGTCTGTGTTCCGCGGCCATCGATCGGTGAAAGTATTGTAGATTTTCAATGGAAGAGATAGTGTTCATACACATTATTAACACAAAGCAGTATCCAAGGTGACTTCCTGTGTTAAGGTTTTGATTAATTGGTTCTATTGATGTTTTATATATAATGTAACACTCGGCTAAATACTTATGATATATATCTTCCCCAACCACGTCGTCTCAAATTAGTGACAAATTTTCTCACTTTTATTATCTGGCAATGTCAGAATATAATGCTTCATCCTGGTATGATGGCTCATTTTCTACAGATAATTTGCTGACCTCTCAAGCCTTAGGAGTGTGTACGTAACGAAATAGGAAAGTAATTACAAACTATACTTTTTATCTTGTATGAATAGCGTATTTGATATTACTTGTTATATCTGTCGTATTGTCTGAATTAAGAACTTTCTTCCACAGAGTTCTAAATAGCAAGTGGAGGTATTCCATATCCATTTGCCCAGGTCTAGCCCGATATTGTAACAGTCATCGTTAAACTATATGTTTCATTTACAGAGAACTGTAAAGAAAAAACATCTATTTCTATGTATTGTATTGGGTAAATCGTTATAAAAAATGTTTAAAAAAAGGGACGAATGCTGTTGTTTACTACATTGATTTGCCTTCTTTGAAACAACAACAACAACAACAACAACAACAATAATAATAATAATAATAATAATAATAACACTAATTCTATAACGCCCTTAACAATGTTCAATGCATTAATACACTTGTATCAATATTAACCCATCATTTTGCTTTTTGTATCTTATAACGGCAATACTCGATCGGAAAATTGTTTTTATTTATAAGGATAAAATAACAACATGGTATATATAGACGATTTTCATTGTGGTGCACATTGATATGTACAGGTAATGCCCCTCCTAAATTTTGACCCACTTACGTCACTCTAGCCCTGGCCAGTATGTATCTAATAGCAGCACATATTTAGGCCTATACCGACACTCGTTTTTTCCGAGGGGTCTATACTTGCATTTTAGTATACTACAGGTATATATCAAAGACCTAGCAGATTAATACAGCTAACTATCCAACGTGACTTTGTCTGTCACGGGTATATCTATTTGGTAAAATAAATTATGGTAAGATAAGATATTCTGTATTATGCCACCGCNTAATAATAATAATAATAATAATAATAATAATAATAACACTAATTCTATAACGCCCTTAACAATGTTCAATGCATTAATACATTTGTATCAATATTAACCCATCATTTTGCTTTTTGTATCTTATAACGGCAATACTCGATCGGAAAATTGTTTTTATTTATAAGGATAAAATAACAACATGGTATATATAGACGATTTTCATTGTGGTGCACATTGATATGTACAGGTAATGCCCCTCCTAAATTTTGACCCACTTACGTCACTCTAGCCCTGCCCAGTATGTATCTAATAGCAGCACATATTTAGGCCTATACCGACACTCGTTTTTTCCGAGGGGTCTATACTTGCATTTTAGTATACTACAGGTATATATCAAAGACCTAGCAGATTAATACAGCTAACTGTCCAACGTGACTTTGTCTGTCACGGGTATATCTATTTGGTAAAATACATTATGGTAAGATAAGATATTCTGTATTATGCCACCGCTGATAGGATTCCTGATGGGACTGTAGCTTCAGACTCTTCCGCTAGGGGCGCTACAGGAGGGGCACGTCGAAAAGAGCGTGCACAGCGAGATAAAATGGATCTCAAGGACATCCGTAACACCAGTTACCTCCGCACTTCAAATTTTAGTAATATAAGGAAGCCGCTCAGCATAAATAGGGCTTTTATCGATTGAAAAGAAGTATGTGTAATAATGGAAAACGTGTCAGTGTAGTGTTAAATGCATAGGGATCGTTGTAGAGACTCGATGGAGAAGCGTGATCCTCATTCGTGTTTACAATTCTAGGCGATCTTTAAAATTAGTCATATTTACGAACAGCAGTCGGTAGACTAATTTCTATGGCTGCATTTCATTAGCAGGCTGCATGGCAAAAGAAATCACCCTAGTAATAATAATCATAAAGAAGTACAAAGTACCAAACCGGTAACGGTACCGTTAAGACAACATTACGTTATTCCAGAGAGAAGGATCAACTTAAACGATTTCAAGACCTGTCCCCGCTCTCACAGCATTATTTAACAGCTCCCTCCATCCCCCCCCCCCCCCATGGAATTTATTGAATATCTTGGGGCACTTTAGTAAACGGGATTAAAATTAAGTCTTTGTTACTTACATGTAAATAGAACCAAGAAGATTGATTTTATGACCGATAAATCTGCTAGGTGAAAAACTCGAGTTTTAACAGAGAAGTGCTTCTTTTTACTTCGCAGAGTTCACCGTCGCGCATCAAACGTGTTTCAGGACGTCCCTAAAAGGAATTAACTTGATCACGCAGATAAATTAGTTTATCAAAAATGCCGGTATAAACTGCCTCACATATTCTGAGAACAGGATTAACGAGATGTTTTTTTCTCTCGTAGTTAACAAATTGCAATATTTCTTCAATATTTTAAGTGGATCATGGTGTTTTGTAATGCATGGCAACATGGCTTGTTAAATAGACGAACTTCGCTGAATTCAATAACAATCTTTCGGACGTGTCCAATTATATTTATTTTTCAGCTATGTAAATACCTGAAGAGAAGGTAAAAATAAAATGCCTGTTTTTTTCAACAGCGGCAATTTTCGCTGAAAATAATTTGTCGACTAACAAACAATTTAGGGAAACAAGAATTTAAATTTGAACGAAAAATAACGGAACGGAAAACTTAAGTACGGAAATATAGTTCTATTCTTATATAAATTGCTTTTTTTATGACACGAAGACAAGTTTCTTTTGTAGTTTCACTGCGAATTAAACCAGACTTCAGTTCAAAGCTCAAAGCTTGGTTCCAGCATGGTATCTATACATAGATCTCGGTCGTTGAACTTTCAGCCGTGTATTCACCTTTCAACGTCCTTTCGATCTTTTACCACAGCGATACAGCTGCCCCCCGTGGGTTGTGAGGAGTTATTACATTGTAATTACGCTACAGGAGATTTTACCCTCTTTCACAGGCTCTCAACGTGTTCGCTATCTACTGTCTGGCCGCCCCGTGCCGAGCGCAGGGCGGGGGGGGGGGGGGGGGGGTGCTCATTCTTTTACGTAATAGCTAAGCTATTATTTTGTCTATCTCTGAAAACACACTGGTGGAGCTGTAGCGCGAAATCATAACGCCCGGTGAGAAAATGTCTTAAGTCTACTTTCAGCTTTTTTATTCGAAAATTGACTTCATGAACCATGAACTGTCACCCGTCTGCGTTGGTATCCAGAACCCTCCGCCCGGAGGAAGGGATAAAGACGGCATGCTGTAATAACAAACTTATTTTATTATGCTGTTGTTATTTTTTGAGGACTGCGAATGTCCTAGATGAAATGCCATCAAGATAAAGTTCTTAATTTTCAGTTTGCAGACTGTGGGCATTTACTGTGGCGTACTTGGCGTATTTTCGAATTGAAAAAAATTGATTATTGGGTAGGACATGGGAATTTCATAGTATTTTAATACTACTTTTCATAGTTTTTAAAAATAGTCAAGTTCTGAATGTGAAAAACCAACATTTTGTACCAGCTTAAGCCTCGGTCACAACCGGCCGCACGGGATCTTACGGGCTGTTTGCGTCCAAATTTTGCGCAGAATCTCACGTCCCACGCAAGTCCTTCTTACGCAATTTCGAGTTTGCAGACAGCCCGTAAGCACGTACGGAGGATGTGGGACATGTCCAAAAAATTCTACGAATAGCCTGCGAACAGCGAGGCCGCAAGCGTAACTTGTTCCCTCGCACGGAGTTAGCAAGAGAGACGCGCGTTGTGCACGACGCACGTCGCAAGCAATGAAGGAGCAAGTGCCCTTTGCGTGTTGAGTAAGGCGCACGCCCTCACAACTAACGAACAAAGTAGAGAGCACACCGGAAATGCGTCGCACGTGCGTAACCCCCACGCCTGGTGTATAAAAGGCGTGCTCACGACGCCCGCTCGTGTCTTTACAATGAACGTCGACTGTGTAACGTGTACAACAATTTTCAAAATTTTCAAATTTTTGCTCAATTTAGTTTCTAATATGCCTCCAAAAGGCAAGAGAAAAAAGCTTACATAGTAGAAAAAAGGGAAGAGGAAGAAGAAAGAAGAGGAGAACAGGAAGCAAAATTGACGTACGCCGTCAGTACGTCACCACAAACGTGTAAGTCAAGTGTGAAGCAAAACTGACGCAAAAGGGCACTACTTTCGTCTTGCGTTGCATTCCCTTCGTAAGTGGTGTGTGTGTGCCACGTACACAGGAAGCAAGACAAACTCAAGAAATGAGTACAATTTCTACAGCCATCGCTCCTTGCAATTAGCGTCCCTGCTTGAAAGGACATCTCATGTGGCCCTTGCGACTCGCAAGGCAGACTTTCCTCTACCTCTACGGCCTCCACGGCCTCCGCAACACCCAAAAATCGATCCTGAAATTCGTGCGTCCGGTTGTGACGGAGGCTTAAACTTAAATCAAATTTGATAATTCAAAGTTATAAAAATGAAACTATAATTTAACATCGTTCGTGATGTCATTGCAAATTGATTTACGTTTTTTTTTTTTTTTTTTTTTTTTTTTTTTTTTTTTTTTTTGAGTACCTGCTTAAAATACATCTTAATCTTTAATAACTATAGATATAGCTTAAAAAGGAAAGCTGTTGCTATGGTAATTCTCTTTGAATGTTAGCCAGGGAAACATCCAATCACTAAATAAGTATGATGTCTCCTCTAACAATGATATCTATATTAATCACAGCAGACAGACGGAGAAATTCAACTTTGACAAATAAGCTGTCACATTATTTGCCTCATTCTCTCTCTCTCTCACAAATCAAGACTCAAATCGAAAAAAAAAGAAAAAAAAAAAGAAAAGAAAATCGATTAACTGAATGAGGGGCAAGCTTGGGATATGGGAGATATGTTTCGTAATAACAGAATATCCTCCCGAGTTGCCTTGGTTACCTTGGCAACCTGATATAACCTTGAGCGCGCTGTCTTAGGAAAAGAGACCTTACGTGACAGAAGTGCCCGCCCTGCCTGTTACGGGGTAAAAAAGTGAATGTGGGGTTGTATAGCTCTCCTAAGTGCAAGACGAATTTAAAAAGTTGCTTATGATAACAAGGCGGCAATTTTCTGTAAAAATGGTCAGTAGTATTATTAATTTATTAATTAATCAATTAATCCATTTATTGTTTTTTAACAATAATAGGTTTAACTGATACTGAACATGTAGCTAAATTTTATGGTCGGTCGGTCTGTTTTCGTTTTTATTTTGACTTTTACTGGGAAGAAATATCAACTCCACGGTGTGGGCGACAAGAAATTATAAAACCACCAGCATTATGTTTTTTTTCCTGGGTTACAAATTTCTTTATTAACCAAATCAAACTGATATGCAAAAAATCCTGATTTACTCAAAATTAGGATCGTTTGCGCTCGTGCGGCATTTTATAAACTGTGAAGCTCATCCCG